ATTTTATCCACGACTATTGTATAATGTACCCATTATACGTCTGTTTGCTCGACCTTAATAATACCCATTAATCACGGCAGTGATTAATGAGTCATTAATCACTACTGTCAGATGCTTCCTTAATTTAGCTATAATATTATATTGTTCTGCTACAAACAATCCGTTTTTAAAATTTTATCGTGTAAACCACTAAATATTTTCAATTCAGTGCTGTACATTTAAAAAAAAAATTAAAAAAGTGAATTTTCCTAGACCGGATTCGAACCCGGGACCCGCGGTTGGAAGGGAAAGAGCATCTACACTGAGCCATCAGCGACTTCATTTGTGCGAGTCGTATATCTGTTTCTTAACATACCATGTTTTTCGAAACATTTCAAAAAAAACTTCAACAAAAATATTTAGTAGTCGTGGATAAAGTATAGTATTCTACTCCCGTATAATGGGTATTATTCACTCGGTGATTTAGGCCACTCGCCTGCGGCTCGTGGCCGTAAACTTCACCTCGTGAATAATACCCATCATTATACGCTCGTTGAATAATATTCTATTAGAAAAGAAATACGCTTTCATAAGTTTTTGAACAAAATTTATAAAATTCAGACCGATATAATCTAATCTAAATTATTTTTACTGGAATTCAAATAACTAAACCTGTATTTAACCAAAAAATGTAACTTCTCTTAATAAAAAAACTCAATTTACGTGTAACACTACTACATAGTTAACAATCTCTTTATTACCTTAGATTACAATAATGAATCAGATATTAATGTATAATAATTAAAAGTATTAAATTAAAATCATGAAAATGAACAGGTTACTATACTACTGGAAGTAGCATGCCATGGCGAAAAGTGTGGCTGAGAGACAGACAGTATCTCAGACGCGCTGTCTCACTCTAGCACGCCGCGATTGGTTGGAGCATTCATTTCCAACCAATCGCGGCATGTTAGAGTGAGACCACTTGTACTGATGTACTCTTTGTCTCTCTCGCACACTCAGCCACAATTTTAGCAATGGCATGCCTTCAGTAGTATCTGCTCGAAGGATTTGCCATATTCTTAGCGACTTTTCCTAGGGTGGAGGTAAGTATTTAAAAATTGCCAACGTAATTCATTCATAAATCATTTAAGATTGCATACTGATTGATTAGTATAGTATGTGATAAAGAGATATATGATAATTGAATTAAGATGTTGAGATATTTGGTCTACATACAGTAATCAACAATTAATTATTATTACAAGAAAAAATTAAGAAAATTATCTTTATCTTATACGTTTATAATAATATATACAATTATTAATTTTACATTTTTATTTGCAAATTATATATTTTATTCATTTTTGAAAACATTAGTTATTATTTTGTCTGAAATATTTTATATAAATGAAATATAAAAAACGGGTCATCCCATTTATAAATCATGGTTGATACAGCCTTCCAAAATAACTTCATAATATTTTTAAAATGTCCTCCTTAAGGCACCGCTCGATGCCCCAATAAAATAAGTATTTTCTATCTATATGACATAGGAGTAATATAATCACTATTAGTCCACTCTGTATGTATTGATTTAAGACAACATTTATAAATGAATATCTCTAATACAGAAAAACACTAAATATGCAGGTATGTGGATGTAGTGAACAATGGTTAAAATAGTAAACGTTTATAACATTTTATTTTAAAAAAATTCCGCAACTAGTGGGGACTTTAAGTTGCCCTTCATTGTACCTAAATACTTTTTAGTAGTAGTTAATTAAAAATAATCATTCAAAGTTAATATTTTAGTGCAACTTTTGTAATTTTTTTTTTATTTTTAACAAGCTGAGCGCGGTTGGCAACAACTGTATCATAACCTCAACTGATTTACCTTTCAACACTTCCATTGATCTCTGATAGATTTAATAAGCAACTGAATGGAAATGTGCATTTTGTAAAATCGATCCAATGGAATTCACCGAATTATACATAATTTAAAAATGTGTGAATGTTTTTTTAATTTATAGAGTCAAAAGTATATGGGGCATTCCACGCCAAATCGGACGGTTCGAAAAATTTAAATTTTCGATTTCCTTAATTTTTTATATTTTTTAGTACCCCTCAAAAAATCCTTTCCGGTAGATTGTGAGATTTTTTTGATCACTTGTTCAAGTTATAAAATTTTTAAAAAACGCTCTTTTTTGGTTTTTTGATCATAACTTTCTTAATAATGGTCCAAATTAAGCTTTTTTTTTTATAAAAATCTTTGTTTTTAGATGGCCTTTACAGATAAAAATACAAAAAAATATTCAAAGTGTTTTTGATTAAGATTTTTGAGTTTGAAATTTTCAATCGTATTTTTGAAAGTGAGTGTATCTTTCGATTTTTGTGCAAATATTTTATTTCAAACTACTATTCTTTTAACAACTTTTGGGACCGGTCCGGTCGTGGGCCCTCCATAATTACTATTTTTTTTTGATTTTTGAAAATTAAACAAAAAATTTTATCTATAAATCATTATAAGTACTCATTTTTGTTACTGTCTACTCTCTTTTTACTTATTTTAAATTAAATTGAATACTTTTTAATTATTAATAGGTGTTTAAAATCAATAATTAAACGTTGTCTATTTATAAACAATTATAACAAACGTTTTTATTTATTTTCGTGTTCCTTTAAAAATTATTTTATCAATGCTATTTTTTGTTGCAAAGTATTTTTTTAATTTAAATAATAGTATCTTTATGAATTTCTATCCAATTTAAAAAGAGTCGCACATCTTATGAATATTGCTGTCAAATTTTCAGCTGAGAAACACTATTTAGATGCAAAAAATATTAGATTTGCATTACAATACAGCCAAACCCAAACAAACCCAAATTTCATTCAATCATTCCAAGGAACAAAATATTATTTTGTAAACTAGAATACTCCTTAGCTAATATATTTCCATTGCTCCTTGGAATGATTGAATGAAATTTTTGGGTCCCAATGATTGACAGCTATATTGTATCGCAAATTTAATTTTTCTTTTGCATCTAAATAGTGTTTCTCAGGTGAAAATTTGACATCAATAATAATCATAAGATGTGCGACTCTTTTGAAATTGAATAGAAATTCATAAAGATACTATAATTTAAATAAAAAAAAATACTTTGCAACAAAAAATAGCATTGCTAAAATAATTTTTAAACAATTTTTAAAAGAACACGAAAATAAATAAAAACGTTTGTTATCATTGTTTATAAATAGACAACGTTTACTTATTGATTTTAAACACCTATTAATAATTAAAAAGTATTAATATTAATTTAAAATAAGTAAAAAAGGGTATACAAAAATCGATACTTATGATTTATAGAGAAAAAAATTTTTTTTTAATTTTAAAAATAAAAAAATTGTAATTATGGAGGGCCCACGACCGGACCGGTCCTAAAAGTTGTTAAAAGAATAGTAGTTTGAAATAAAAAATTTTCAAAAAAATCGAAAGATACACTCACTTTCAAAAACACGATTTATAATTTCAAACTTAAAAATCTTAATAAAAAACACTGAATATTTCTTTTGGATTTTTATCTGTAAAGGCCATCTAAAAATAAAGATATTTATAAAAAGAAAGTTATGATCAAAAAACCAAAAAAAGAGTTTTTTTGAAAATTTTATATCTTTTGAACAAGTAATCAAAAAAATCTGAAAATTTACCAGAAAGACTTTTTTGAGGGGTACTAAAAAATATAAAAAAATTAAGGAAATCGAAAATTTAAATTTTTCGAACCGTCTGATTTGGCGTGGAACGCCCCATATATATGATAATAATTAGTTTCTGTTGGTAGTAAAATTAGACTCTAGTCAATAGTAACAAAATAATTATAGCACTATCCTCTTAATTTGTAAGTAAGTAATTATTTTTTAAGGTCATTTTGCATGTATCATTTTTATATAAAGATAAACATTGAAATGTCAAACAAATGTAAATGTGTGACTAATGTATGAAAGTTCGAGTTATATTTTATAAAAATTGTAAAATGTAATATTGTTTACTTACAATTATTTGTTCCCATACTTCTATGCAGCAAATGCTGCATTCTTGGTCCTAGAGCCCCAAAAAGATGTGGTGGTAGCCCTCTAGCTTCTAACAGAGCTTGCAATCGTCCTACTTCACTATCATCACTCTCTGAATCTGCACCAGGCCCAGAAGGGCCTCCACTAGCTGGTAAAGCTTGTGTAGCTTCTTGAGGTGAAGGCGGTTCTTCGGATGCTGAAAGTATTGTTTCAAGCTCATAGTATAATTCATCTATAGATGAGAGCAGATTAAAAAAGTTTAGAGCATCCATTTCTACAGGCCTTTGACATTAACATTTGTCAATTTGGAAAATAAATGACAGTAACCGAATTAATTTTTGTTGCCCAGAGGCAACTTGGACAGTCGATATATGTTAACTTTCACAAAACAAAAAAAATTGAACCTCTTCAAAGATAAATGTCACAACACTATCACAGACTACCAACAAATGTTTTATAAATTGAAATGCTCATTTTATATGCAAATTCAAAATATATTTTAATGACCTCAGATGGGATTATTACTGCAAATCCAGACTGAATTTACCTGAGTTTACCTGCTTCACTTTGGATGTTATGATTAAGTATGAGTTGTAATCCTTTAATACTATTCTTTGTATTTGTAAAGCAATAGGGCAAGATAATTAGGAAAAATAATCCATTAGTAAATTTATTTAAGTAGTTACATATCTGTATTTGTAAAATAAAGACAGAAAATGAATTAGGGAGTATTTCTTTAACATCTAACAATCATAATTAAAATGCAGTATTTATGATTCGCCATTGTACAGAGTGGGTAAAATAAATAAACAATTACATTTTGGAACTATCTAACAGAAAAGGTTTCTTAAAAATAAAATATATGTAATTTCAATACAACTTCTGATAAAATAAATAAAATATTGTGGATTTTGATTTAATTTCCATATAAACATACATATACTTTTATTATTTCGAATATGTGATAGTGGTAGATTTAAAGAGTGATACTGAACAGTGATCACAGTAAATTATGTAGATAATAATGCTATTATTTGCGAGTAATTTTAAACTAAAGAGGTGAACTTTTTGCAAATAAAAGGAGCGTAGAAATTTTGATGAAAATTATTATGACCATAATTATTTTTATTAAATTATAATTATCATATGAAATAATAATTAATTGAGATTGAATATAAACAAGTAGCTTTTTAAGGTCAACATCTAATACTGTTTTGTGGAATTAAGCTCAAAAAATTTATATGATTAGACATCATCATTTGAATAGAGGTAAATTGCAAAAAAAAATTTGCAAAAAATTGAAACAATGCACTTTTTATCTTTAAAAAATGAGGGCCTATAACTTTATAAGGAACCAACATTCTACTAAGGTAATCTTATCTAAATCAGTGTTCCAAGGAAACTGCCTTTAAAATATGGTTCATTCGTTTCCGAACACCCTGTTTAATATTTGTCGCACTGAAAAAATTTCAAAATGAACCATATTTGTTGACCCATTAATTACTAATATTATGGCCTACAAAGAACCAGAATATATTTGTAACTTTTTATTATTTATGTTGGTTGTGAAAAAAGCACAGAATCCACTAATAACTTTAAGTGAAGAAATATCAATGATTTCAGTAATATATTATATAGACAATCATCTTAAAAAGTAAAAACAAGAATAAAGGGGTACAGATGCAGTGCAGTTTAAAGTTGAAAAAAAAATATGTTTTTAAAAATACGTACCAGAAAGCCCGTTATTGGGTATTTCGGGTTGATCGGCGGCCATGGCTGCGGCAGCGTGAGTTGCAGGAGCCGAGAGGAGGGCTGGTGCTGCTGAACCAACCTTTTGCTGCCTTGCTGCTCTTCTCGAGCTGCTGCCGCTGCCACTTGCGCCACTTGAGCTTGCACAGGAACCCGTTGTTGTGTTGTGCCCTGCAATGTTTAAATAATTGTTAAGAATGACCAGTGAACATATTAATTTCACTTTAAATTTATGTATATGGGGTATGGATTTTTCTTAGTATCTTTTTGATTTTGTGAATAGTAGAATAGTGGATGTTATTCAGTATTATGATCATTTTAGGGTTTTTTAAAATCCTTTACAATAAAGAAAAATTCTTGTATACTTATACAGAATCAGTCAAAAAGTCATGACAAAACAAAGTCGCTTTTTCTTTTATGGAACATCCTGTATATTATTCCATATTTAAATTCTTCTTGAAATTCTAAACAAAATTCATATAGCACCATCATCTATCTAAACTTAACCGTTTTCAAGATATTCAATTTTGAAAGTAACTTTTTACTACTCTCAAATTTATAAAAGAAAAAGGGACCCAAATTAGGGATATTTATTTTGAAAATAACACAAGGTGGAGGATATGCTTTAATTTTATTATTAGTTTTTTTACAGAAAATAAAAAAGCATATTAGTTCAGGGCTGATTAAAATGCATGAAACGAAAAAATGTATTTTTTAATGAATGTTCTGGATATTTTAAATTTTATGAAAACAATAGTTGTGCCAGAACAGAAAAAGAGAGAAAACAAGTATTAATAAACAACAAATGTTTTCTTTGGAATTCATTTTATAAGGTGCTCAGTGTTCACCATTTATCTCCTGACAGTAATTTAATTCACTGAACAAAATTTTGTAGTGAATTGAAAAGGGTGTTGGGAGGAATAGTGGAAATTTCACGCCTTATCTTTCCTGCAACTTTTCGATATTTTGTGGCCTATTTTTGTGGACTACATTTTTTGTGACCCACAGAAGAAAGTCAAGCGGGGTCATACCGGGAGACCTAGTTGGCCATCCAATTATCCCCCTGCGTTCAATCCATTTATCAGGAAAACTTTTACCCAACATGTCCAAAATGTGGAGAAACCCCATCAAGCAGAAACAATATTGTTTTGTCGGTAAATTGGGATTGGGTTTGGGGAAATAAGTTTTGAAATAATGACCCCCAATACTGTACTGCCTCAGCCCGAACCAGATTCAGACGTTTTGTCTCGAAAAATTCATCTTCAGTTCAGTTCAGTTCAGTTTATTGAATTATCGTACACTGTAAGTGTTGTTAGACCTTGTGAAATCCATCTAGTTATTTAAACTATTACCACCACGCATTAAAATAAAACATTATTAGAGTTTTATTCCCATGTCCATAGTTATTTCTAGGCTTCTCGAGTGCTCAAAATTCAAACAAATTCAGATCTATTTTTTCCAGGATATTTATATAAATACATCCGACATGCTCTTTCACAGTTGCGGTTACAGATATAATAAATTCCGAGAATATTACGCTGATCTACATCTTCAACTTGTGACAAAATGAAAATGTTTTTGAACATTTACTGAAATTTTTTAAAGAATAATATTCAGTTGGCATTTTGGTTGTTCATATGCGTTTTTAAGAATTAATTTGTTATAATAAAATTAAAATTGTAATAGTGTTTTAATTTTGACCCAACAACTTATTGAGTTATGTATGACCAAATGATGGTAATAAAACACACCACAGAAATGAGAGAGAATAGTTATAATAAATGTTTGTGGTAATAGTTTACATAACTAGATGGATTTCACAGGGTCTAACGACACTTACAGTGTACGATAATTCAATAAACAAAGAAATCTAAATATAAAATTTAGATAAATTTGGAACGAATACACTGAATCTGGTTCGGGCTGAGGCAGTATAGTATTAGGGGTCATGAAGGCTTGCAAATAATGTAATCAAATTTCTAGGGTCGTATGACACGTTACATACACAAAAATTGATTATGCCATTCGATAGAGGGCAAAAACTGGCCATGAGAAAGTGTTCTTCTTTTTTCAATATCACCTTGAATAAGGCGGAAATGAAACAAAAACGATTTCCAAAATTTCGTTTTTTCTCAAATATTTCGAAATCTGATCATGTTAGCCTTTATTTTTTAGAGGCATAATGTTGGTCCCCTGATTACGCAACTTTGCCCCCATTTAAGCTACTTCATACCTCTTACCGTTTCCGAGATCCCTATAGTGAGAAGCGAATTTGTAACAGCCTGTATTTTTGGTTTCTTTTCCTTTTTATTTTTACATATTCCAAAATGAATTAATGAATTCATTCATGGGTTATCCTAACTTTGATGTTCCGGCGCAAAACTCAGATTGTTACTCTACCAGTTCCATTCAGTACAACTTCAAATTTGGTTGGTATATTATGAATTGAAACCGAAGCTGATTGATGTTTCAATTCACATATTAGAATATTAATTTATTTGGAATAGTACAATTACATCGCAATGTAAATGTATAACTTAGAATGAAATACATTTATTTAGATGTTAAAAAACTTTAGTTAAAATCTGGTACTTGGAACATTCGTTTGTGAGAAATGTCACTTGAATACCTCTAGGACCTTGCAGCACTGCCTAGAACCCTTCTCAGTCGGAACCAAAACACACCTTATATAAATATTAAAAAATTGTGGTTATGTTAATTTCATTTCCTGGAAATATTGGGGTTTTAAGAATATTTGTCTAATACAGAAGCAGAAAAATGATTTATTCTTTTATGGCGCATACTTACATGTATTCGAAAATCCAGATTTTCACATTGAGAGCTAGACCATAATTAAATCGAAAAGCTTACCTAATTTAATAAATCTCTTAACATACTGTTTTTCACTACAATTATTTAAGAACTTTTATTTGGCAAAAGGTTATGAAATTCTACAAGTTAACCATATTGTAGATCTTGTGTCAAACATATTTGTATAGAGAAAATTATTACAATTTAATTAATTAATAATATTTCCATAAATTTAAGTCAATATAAATCAATGAAAAAGTTTCTAAATAACTTGTGTATTATTATCATTTAATTTAGTTTATTTATTGAAAATATCTCTTAATGTAGAAGTTAGAAATATATACATACTTAGTAGTAATTCTTAAAATATTACTGATAATAATACTAATCTTCGTAATAAATAAACTTTTCGAATGTTACAAATATTTAATTACCTAATATGTTGAAAATATAAATTGTTGTTACCAGTCACAACAGACTTGGGCTCCATTAAAATACAACAAACCAAACTTATTCTCATTTAAATTTAGTATGTTTAGGAAAAGATATTATGAACACAAATACCTGGCCTGACTAATAGAATGGCTCATCACTTTATCAGAACATTAACTTTATCTGCAAGTTTTCACAACAGTCATTTCAAATTAATTAAATCTCTGATAATGTAAATTAAATAAATGTGATAAATATCGATCATTACAGAAGGGTCACTGAACAATCCTTGGCATGCATACATACATATGTTACAAAACTCACTGTAATCAGTATTTGGGAAAGCATTTTCTAGTTTTTTAAAGTTTATTGGACGAGTGTGTTATCATAAACGTATTAATTTTTAATAATCAACAAGTTACATTGTAGATATGATTGTATAGAGAAGTTGACTGATTACAAATAATACAAAAAATACTATTAAAATAAAAAATCAAAGGGCTACCAATAAATTTTGTAACTAAAAATTAACTTAATGTATGAAATATTATTTTATATGGCACGTTTTTTTTTCAGATATTAAAAATTGTTAGGTGAAAAAACAAAATTTTTGTGATTAATACAATGGTAAAAACAAAAACATTTGTACAGGGTGTCCCGAAATTAATGTAACAAAATTAGGTCACAGATTCTTACGAGAAATTTAGGAGACCCGTATTTTTTATTTTTGACAAGTGGCCCCCTCTTTCGGAGTTACAGCCCCCTGAAATTTGCCCCTAAGAATAATCTTTTTTTTATATCTCAGAACCCTGCTGTACGAGAATCACTAAATTTTGTACACATGGGTTTTATGACATGTGGAATCTGATAGTGTGTGCTTTTTGGCAGGGAACCCCCTTAAGACAGTTTTTCTTGGGCCCCTTTGTCTTTGGAGCCAAAAACATTTGGTGGCATATTTAAATTTGCTAAAAATTATTAATCCGCTAGAAAGAAAATTTAGAAACTTTTTTGTCTCATGATATTTTCTTCGTAAAATGCAATGTTTTCGAGAAAAATGTCGTAATGTGATTGAATGCATATCGTGATTCGCTATTTTCCTTAAAAACATTGCATTTTACAAAAAAATATCAGAGACAAAAAAGTTTCTAAATTCAATAGCTTTCTAGCTAACTAATAATTTTTTAGAAATTCAAATTTGCGACTAATTTTTTTTTGTTCCAAAGACAAGGAGGCCCATGAAAAAGTATCTTAAGGAGGTTCCCCGTCAAAAAGTTTAACACTATCAGGTTCAACATGTCATAAAACACCTGTTTACCAAATTTACTGATTCTCGTACAACAGGGTTCTGAGATATAAAAAAGACTATTCTTAGGGGGTAGATTTCAGGTGGTTATAACTCCGAAAAAGAGGACCACTTGACAAAAAGAAAAAATAGAGGTCCCCTAAATTTGTCTTAAGAATCTATGATGTGAAATTTTGTTGCATGAATTTCGGGACACCCTGTATAGTCTGTCCTAGTTTTGGAACAGTATATATTTGGAAAGCATTTTTTGCAAAAATAAATGAAAAATAGATAAAAATAATGTGGGTACACGTCAATAATATCAAAAGAACATTTTTTATTACCTACAGAATGGTATAATTTGAATGACAAGTCAATTTTTTGTGATTAACATCAGATGTCTCTATTCAAATGCATTTAAAAATATTAATATATGGATTTTTTTATGAGTTAATTTTTGCCTACGGTAAATGTCATCCAGATCTAGATAGTATCACCGACCAAGACCCGAGTAACAGTTTAGTCTACATCGGAGATCGGTATCACTGAAGACCATTTGAAGTAATGTTTTAGGCTCCACCAGAGGCACCTTACTTTCAGTCAGTCACAATTGTAGGCAGACAGCTCATATCAGTCAAACATAATT